TGGAGTACGGTAGCGTTCAGGCCCTGTTAATGAAAGCCCTCCTTCCAGCTCAGCATCTCCCTGGAGAAATCACCCATACCCTGGGTGGGAAAGGAGGTCGTTTCTAAGCTGTTCCCGCCTTCCCCCTGAGATAACATCAGCCATGCAGTCAGCAATAAGAAATCCTAGATTAGAATTTGAAAAGGTACATAATGTAATCATAATATTGCTTGGGTTTTGTGTAGCACTTTACAGTTTACAAAGCACTTTTACATGCATTAGCTCCTTTGAGAAAATTGCAGGGAACTCGTTAAGGACAGAAAAGTAGAAAGAAGCCAATACAATTCATCTGTGAACCCACTAGTCAGAGAAAAGCTTTGTTAACATTGTAATGTGTTCCCTTTGGTCTGTTTTCTATGTGGCTTTTTGTTTGTTTGTCTCTCTGTTCTATTGGGATCATACTGCATATGCATTTTTATGACCTGCTTTTTCATGGAGCATTGTGTCTTCCACCATCTCTTTGATCCTTGCATCCATCCCCTGGGAGAGGAGTCATCACACTGCAAAGATTGCCCTGGTGTGAGGTCCCAAGACTGGAGTCTCAGTCCAGAACTGCTTCTCCCTAGCCGTGTAACTGGCAGATTTTTGAAATTCTCTGAGCCTCAGTTTCCTCCTTTGTAAAACAGAGATGTGTGCTGAAGGATTAAATTAATAAAGCAATCCATCTGAAAACATTTAGCATCGCATCTGGCACAGAGCAGGTGCTTCATCCATATTAGCTGAGCCAAGGTACAAACCGCTATGTTGAGAGTGTTCATAACATTAAACTCAAGGAAGGCAATCTGGTTGGTCCAGAGTCCCATAGATTTTGACATCGTATGTCGGACATCATAGTTGATGTGCTTTTGCCACAATACCCAGTGTGGTTGATAGACGACAGTATTCCCTAGACCCTACCCCTAAAGCACTGTGATGGCCACAGGTGACGTAGGGATGTGGATGCCACTGAACCACATCATTGGTACCAGGAAGTTCATAGAGGCTACTTATCCCCCAGGACTGCTGGTAGACCCTCCCAGCCACATCAGGCCATGCTCTGTTAGTTCTGGGAGCACTTTCATTGGTCACCGTTCCTTTTTTAACATGAGTACATGGCTGTGAGTACGTCCAGTAGAGGCATGTTGTGTACACAGGGTGCTCTAGATGTTCTAGGTACAGGAAATTGAGAGATGAATGCAACACAGCTCCTGCCTTGAGGAGCCCACTATATATGGGTGCTTTTCAGAAGATGGCTCCTGGAGCTATTTACCTCGGAATGTTTTGTTTTTTTTTTTCCTGACTCAAGGGTATGTGCCTGTGTATATAGAGAGAAATCCCTATACACACATGCTCTGGCCACTAATTCTCATGCTCTGGCCACTAATTTCCTTTCTCACATGATGAGGATACCTTCTCTTTGAAGGCTCATCAAAGAAAGACCCCCCCACACACACACACACATCTATACACGTCCTCACATGTTCCCACTCCTGTCTTCACTGAACTGAAGCCATGCACTCCTGTCAACACATTAAAAACACCACACAAATCAACCCCCCCCCGAAACAACCCTGCTTTTGCAAAGAGCTTTCCAGATTTTTATTCTCTAAAAGGGAATAATTGCGAGTGTTCTTTTGCAGTGTGGGTGAGAGAGAAGGAGGGTATGAGTTGGTTAAGTTCCCCATTGGGGGGTGACATTGTGGTTTCTAGGTATATTTGGGCTCCTCAGGGAGGAAGATGTGGGGAGTATCTCCAACACTCATGAGACAGAAGCACTATCCAGGCTCAGCGAGATTGCTGCTTTCCCTGCCCTCACCCTACTGTCTCCTCCAGGTGGTGGCTGAGGACAGAAAGCATCCACCCAGGTGTCTCCCCTTCCGAACTCTGATAGCCACCGTGGAAATAGATGACGTCTGCTGTGTCTTTACTCCAAACACTGTACTCTGCACATGCAGAATCTCTTGGAACCCTCCTACAGCCCCCTGGGTAGTTCCTATTATCTTCCCCATCTTACGCTTGAGGAAGTTGAAGCTCCGAAGGGTTAAGCACCTCCCCCACTCGCCCAAGACTGTACAGACAGGAGTGGGATAGAACCCGTCACCTCAGCCACGGTGCTTGTGTGCTTCTTGACCCAAGGCTGAATGAGCACCTTTCCTGGAGGGATAGCTGGGTAGTAAAAGGACACAGGCCCCAGTTCAACCTCCCTGAGTGACCTCAAGATCTCGAAACTGCTTTTCAGCTGTCAAATGAGGCTGCACGTGCCTCACTGGAAGACTCCAAGGAAGGGCATCACATGTACACAGCATCTTGCACAGAGCCAAGTGCATGTTTGTTTGCTGTCCAACACGTTTTCAGCCATCACAGACCCTTGAACCACAAATATAGGAGCAAATAATGGGCTTAAAGATGATCACCTTCTATGCATAACATTAGAGAATATGATAGGAAAATTAGAAGACAGGCCTTCTAATGATTGCAGTCTTCATGTAGCAGATATTTCTCATGCATGCAGCACATGAATATTAAGCATCTGTCATGCCATGGGCACGGTGCTAGGGGCAATGGTAAAGTGTCACTGTGTCACCAGGAAAGTTGCCCTTAAATAATTTCAGTTCAAACTGACAAGTGCTTTAGCAGAGTTATGAATTGAGGGCTCTTGAGGCACAGAGAAGTGGACCAGCTCTACCTGGCAGGGCTAACAGAGGTCTCAGACAGACGAGGTGTCATCCTGGCTGAATCTTGAAAGGTAAGTAGAAGGCCCCCTAGTGGAGAAGAGCAGGTGAGGAGAGGGAGGGCAGTAGAGAGGGAAGAACATGTACAGAGTCGCAGAGGGAAGGAGGGGAAGGCAGGTTCGGGGAGCAGAGAGATCCCTGGTGCAAATACAGAGGACACGGGGGTGGGGGGTGGTGATGGGTCAGAGAGAGAGGATATGATTGTCAGCAAGGACCTGGATTTAATCCTGCAGGTCAGAAGGGGTCCCTTGGCTCCTAGAATATTAGACGGAATGAGAATTCCCATGTCCTGGGCTTACATGAATCTTCGAATAGGCCAGGACTTCAAACTTCAAAAATGGAAGTCTCCCTGATTGCATCCTTGTTAACAGTTAAAAATCTTCATGATGGGTGAGAACATCTCCTCGATCACTGAATCTCCACTGATCCCCCAAGTGGCATTTGGAAGTAGGTGGGTGCATTTGGAGTTGTACGAGGCTGTCTGGAGAACTCTACAAGCATTTAGTGGGCTGGGGCCCAGGAGGCTAACTGTTCGGGGATATATGGGAGAGGTCGCATAATGCAAAAGCTCCCTGCACAAAATGCCAGTGACCCCCTGTCGGTTATCTGTGGCTCCCAACCTATAAAACCTCAGTGGAATACAGTGAGAAGTGTTTATCTCGGCAGCTGAGCTGAGCTTGGCTGGGCTTGCTCCCACACCTGGGGCAACTGTAGAGCTTCTCCTCTACTCCAGGTATGTCTCATGCTCCAGCGGGCCACCCAGGCATTTTCTCGTGGTAGTGCTGGAGGTTCAAGAAACACGCAGTTCTTCTTGAGGTCTAGTCTCACTGTTAGGACAGCGTTGCTTCCTTACCATTTTATTAGCCAAAGTAAGTCTCATGACAAAGAGTATAGATGTGGGAGGGGGTGAAGAATGGAAGGGATTAACGCAGTCATGGGCCGTCACACGTATCTTGAGAAATAAGGCTATAGCTTAATCTAGCTTTATCTATGAAGACAATGGTTTTAACAGAGAGGGTCATACAGAAGTGAGTTAATATAATTCTTGTTTACTACACTCTTGGCCTGGAGATTTAAAATATATGTACACCTTCTTCTTGGAAAACTGCTCTGTTACATTCAGCTAGGTTAGTAGCTCTAGCCATGTAAACTGTAATCTACATTCAACTATGTGCCATCGTGTAATGGACTAGGCTGATGTCACAGAAAAAATATTAGAACCAGCCATATGACCTTTGGCAAATTCAGTTGAAATATAGTTTGCATATAATAAATCCACCCATTCTAAGTGTGTAGTTTGTTGACTTCCCACAAATGTATACACAACTTGTAACCATCACTGTAACCATGACATAGAACATTTCCATCCCCCAAAAAAGTTCTCTCTTGCTTCTTCCCAGTCTGTCCACTCTGCCCACACACCTTCAGTGATCTGATTTCTAGCCCTATTGAAGTTCTCTTACTTTTTCTTTGCAAATCTTCATCTGTGAAGCAGGCCCAGTCACCCCTGCCTGGGAGGGATATGATGGGGTTGGCATGACATGGTTGTGGATTGGGCAGCTGCACATCCTCAGATCTGGATGTTGTGCATCTGCATCTGCCCATGCCAGATGCTAAGTCCTTGGTTCCCTGTTGGCAGGTCAACCAGCTCTTGCACTGGTTGGGGTAGGAAGGCAAGTAGAGCTATGTGAAGAACTTCTACAGGCAGATTAAGGGAGCAGGACTTCCCAAGAGTTAGAAACAAGAAAGAAGAGTGGATGTCAAGCCTTGGATGAAATGAAAGGAACAGATTTTTAAATTTTGTTTATGGGTGGTTTAGTCTTTTTCTTCAATACCTGCTACAAAGATTAAAGTCTGTAGCTCTAGGCAGGAGAGAAGCTCATGCAAAGGCGCTGCTCCATTTGGATTTTGGTATTTTCTTCCCTGTTATTTGGAATTGTTGTACTAGGTCACCTACCAAAGCATTTTTTGTTTGTTTTTAAGGAGTTTGTGGTTGCTTTTATATTTGTCAGTGGTGACCACCATCATTCTCAGCTCAGAGGGGGCTTGTTCCTCAGATGGCGAGGACAACTCCCCTTCATCATTGCCTTTTTAAAATTAAATTGCAGAGGAAACTAAAGCCAGTGATCCTGCCCTCCCATGTTTGACCCATCACCAACATCCAGTGAGTAACCGACTCAGGCAAGGGCAGGCTCCTGGCTCGTTGGGGCTTCCCTTCTTGGTCCCATACCCTCTTCTCCTACATTTCAGCTCCAGAAGCAGCTCTCTGAGCTCGATGAGGATGACCTGTGTTATGAGTTCCGGCGAGAGCGGTTCACTGTCCACCGAACCCACCTGTACTTCTTGCACTATGAGTATGAGCCCGCTTCGGACAACACGGATGTCACCCTGGTCGCTCAGCTCTCTATGGACAGGTAGGCAGATGGGCCCTGACCTCCCCACAGCCCCACCCTGCTGCTCTACACCCAGTCAAAGGGAGAAGGGAGAGATGGTCTGACAGACTTAGGCTTGGGTCGTGCTCCTCTCCAGCACTGGGGAAAACCAAGGGCTCTTGTCTTCCGGTGAGGGTGGTGGTTTTGAGAATAGAAGAATTGATTCTAAAGAGTAGAGCTCTACTCAGACTACCTTAAGGAAAAGGGGTGTATTATAGGGAAACACATATTCTGGAACCACTGTCACTGCTGGAAAGCAATTGCTGTTTCTTTTCCTTAGTGTATTGATGCAACAAACATCTACCAAGCCTTTATCTGGAAGTACTGATGTGATCCCCGCCCTTATGTGGCTGACACTCTAGTGCACTGATTGTCAACCTTGGCTGGGGCCAAACTGAATCACCAGGGGAGCTCTTAAAACAAATGCACCTTCGGGCTCCATTGCAGACCAGTTAAGTAAGAATATTTGTGTGGTGAAGACCTTGCATTGTTTTACGCTTGTGGTGTGCAGCCAGGGTTAAGAACATAAGTACAGTGGTATGAACAGAAAATAAATAGTTGAGTAAAATTATTTTAATTGTGGCAAGTTCTTTGGAAGGAACTGAGACTGATAATAACAATGTCAAGAGAGGGACCTTCCTTGGGTGATGTGGTCAGGGGAAATCTAAGGAGGGGACATTTCTGCAGAGACCTAAAGGAGGAGAAAAGGAGTCAGGAATGTGAGTTGCTGAGAAAAAAAAAAATTTTTTTCCAGGTGGGTAAAATAGCAAGTGTAAAGGCCCTGTGGTGGGAGGGGGCTCGGGCATTCAAAAACGTGGTAGAAGAGCAGTGGCTGAGGCATAGCAGGGACATGGTGTGAGATTAAGATTATAGAACATTAGAAAACTCACCAAAACATTTTGGATTTTATTCTCAGTGTGGTGAGAAGTCATTGAAGACATTTACACAAAGTTATATGATCCAATTTATGTTTTTGAAAGCATCTCTCTTGTTGCCAGGGGTGTGTGCATTCAAAACCCCGAGGTCACCCCCTCAAGGCTGTACTTTTCCATACTGGGTGTCCTGTGTGTCTCCCTCCCACCTCGGCCCACCAGCTTTCTCTTTAGTTTACACATGGCCCACACTGGCTCCCTACCCCCCGTTTCCTTCCTTCCATTCCCCCTCGGCTCCCACAGTTGGGCAATCTGAGCGGCTCATTCTGTCTTTCAGTCACCTTGGAGATGCCCGTCCAGTCTATGGCCGCAACTCCATGGGACTGTTTCCGGGATTAAATGAGTTCACGCCTGTTGTGTGCCGAGCACGGTAGCTGGCACACTTGTTAAGTGTTCAATAAATACCACTCGTTATTAGTGGGGAGTGAATAAAGCGTGGGCAAACCAGTGAAGGAGCAAGCGCTGGGACACAAAAAGGTTCACATGCAGAAAGTGGTCTGGGAGTTGGGAGGAGTGAGTAGAACCTCGCATCCAGAGACATCCGGGAATGAGTTATGTAGAGCGTAGCTGATGGAAGCAGATTCCTCACTTTGAGAGTCCCACTGCATTGGCGGAAGCTCACTGGTGAAATTCAGTGGTTCCATTGGCTGGGGTTTTCCTGGAGGTTCAAAGGCCTCGGGACCTCTGTGCAGAAACACAGAGAACTTGCTGAACATAACAGGTAGCAGGTAAAGATGAGCAGGGACAAAGGGGAAGAGCACAGAGCTGCTCGTACCAGTTCCATCCTGACCTGCTATGTGACCTCAAGCAAAGTCTTTCCCTTCTTGTGGCCTCAGGTTCCGAATCTCCAACATTCACGTGACCACTCAGCAAATATCGTGTAAGCATCTATTACTGTGGTGTGCCAGGCTCTTGTGAAGCTGGGGATATTTATAAGAAGACCCTATTTTTGCTTTCAAGGAGTAGATAGCATCTTCCTGACTCAGTGTATTAGTTATCTACTGTTGTAGAACAAATTGCCACAGATTTAGCAGCTTAAATAACATTTAGTATCTTGCAGTTTGGGGGGTCTGGAGTCTGGATGGGTGCTAGCAGGGTCCCCTGCTCAGTTCCCAGGACGACCATCAAGGTGTTGGCTGGGGCTGTGATCTCATGGGAGTCAGGGTCCACCGCTAAGCTCATTCAGCTTTTGGCAGAATTTAGTTCCAGGACTGAGGTCCCCGTTTCCTCGCTGGCCGTTGGCTGGGGTCCTTCTGAGCAACAGGAGGCCACCCTTAGGTCTCAGCCACGTGGCCCTCTGACAGCACGGCAGCTTACTTCTTCAAAGCCAGCAGGAGACTCTCTGCAGGCTGTTCCATCACGTAACCCACAGGAGTGGCATTCCATCCCATTACTGGGTTCAGCTCACACTCAAGGGTGGGGGTTGTACAAGTGTGTATGCCACGGGGCAGGATTTGTGGGGGCCAGCTTAGAATTCAGCCTGCCCCAGACAGGTAACAGGTTCTTACTCTAGAGAGATTCTATGTGAGGATCCCCCAGCCTGTCTGGGCTGTGGAGAAAGGAAGAGACAGGGAATGGGTCCAAGGGGAGGTGTTGCCTGCATGGAGTTGGGGGCCCGAGTAGACAGCCGGTAGGAAGCACACAGGGAGAGAAGGTGGAGCGTGCAGCATATTCAGGGAACAAAGAGGCCCCCAGGTCCGCTGGGAACACACAGGCTCTAGTGTGGTTAGAGCTTAAGGCGTGGGTGAGAAAGAGGGGAGCAGATGGGTTTACAGAGGGCACCGGGGAAACCAGGACAGGCGGCCTCCCGCCGGCTCACACCCATCAGTGAGGCTCCAGAAGGGACTGAGCTAGACAAGAGCCCCAGGCTTACGCCTACACTTCTGTGTCCCTTTGGCTTCTCACCCAGCCTTCAGTTTGGGTGCGCACACTCCCCCACCAAGCAGCACTTGAGCGAGCGACGGGGCCGTTAACAGACCTCTCTTCCCATGTGTCTTCTCTTATCCTCTCTGCCATTTCAAATGAAAATAAAATCCAATCCTTGAGATTCATGCTGAATGATTGCTGAGATTAGTCTTCTGTTCTTCAGGCAACACAAATGCCCCTCAGGCCCCTCAGAAGGGTTACCTGAAGCTCAGAGACTGAATCTGCCCCAGGTGAGTGAGTTCCAGATAATTCCAGGTTCTCACCTCGTAGGGCATCCCTGGTTTTCCTTGGTCCTGTCCACGCCTCCTGTTCATATGTTCCATTTACCAACAAAATATGCTGACTCAAGATTAGTAGCCAATGGGTACCTCCAAACTCAGGAGAAAATGAAAGAGACAAATCTGACATGCTTTCTAATCAGAATCAAGTGGCCTGACCTTGAATAATTTGGTCCCTGGAGTCAGGCACTATGCGGTCTTAGTGGCTCTGCCACTTCTTGGCTTTGACCCTTGGACAAACCAGCTCTCCCAGCCTTGGTTTCCTCATCTGTAACCCGGGAATGGCAATGACAGTAACCACCCCCCCCCCGCCGCCCCCGCCAAGGTTGTTGTCATGACCAGGTGAGATCATGCATAGCCAGGACTTAGCCCCAACATACAGTCAGAGACTCCCTGTCATTTGATAGCACCATTGACCAAAGTCTTCCTATTTGTGCTACCACACAAAAGGCCACTAGACTCACAGACAAAGAGCTCTGGGTTCAAATTCCACGGGCTCCTTTACTCCTCCGATGGTGATCTTGGGCAGGGCATCAACACCTTTGGTTATCTTTCTCCTTCTATAAAGAGAGTTAAGACATATTTGCCTCCTAGGGTCCTGATTAGGATTAAAGGAGAGATTGTGTTCGAAAGCCCTTGGGATATATTTGCATTCAGTGAATATTTACAGATCTGAAAACCCTGACCACAGCATCTGCACATGGTCGGTATTTAGGAGAGGTAAAGTGATGCAGGAAAACAAAAAGAGAAATATCTGGGTTCAAAGTCCAGCTGCACCACTTACTAGCTACATGAATTTGGGCAAGTTACCCAGGCTTTTTGAGCATCATCTGACTTATCTGTGAAGTGGCAATGATACCGTCAAGGTCACAGATCGGTGTCTGGGCTTTATAAAATAAGAGGCTCTAAAGTGCCCAGTGAGTAGTAGGTCTACAGCAAATATTAGATTCCCTTCCCTTCATAGTTTTTTTTTTTTTTTTTTTTTACCTCTGTGCTAGCTATGGAATTCGCAATCTGGAATGCACAGACAATTAAAAGAAAGGTTTTTCAATTATTAACACCCCAAATCCATCCCTCTGTAGACAGTTGCCATCAATAAAAGGATACAGGCAAAACAGAGCCCCTTCCTTCTAGCGCCGGCTGGAGGCAGACTCCCGGCCGGCCGGGGCTACAGTACCCCCGGCAGAACCTTCCCTCCCAGCCCGCTTAAAGGAAAACCCTGGCCCCTCTCACGTCTGCCTCAGACGCTAACCACAGAGCCCTTCCCTTCAGAGTGCACACATCCCTCGGCATGGCAGGCGCACGATTCGCCCCTAACGCTTTGTGACAAGTATTGCCATCCTGACAATACCCCAGAGAGCCGGAGGACTTCCACACCCTAACGAGAGCAGCTTAGCGGGACATAATAAAAAATCATAGAGCAGTACCACAGGCTGATGGAGATGGTAAGAATTCCTCCTTCTGCTCCATCCTGCACATCCAATTATGATGCAGCAGGCCGACTGGTGCCTGTTGGATTGATTTTTAATTGAAGAAACATTTCGGGTGTGTTTGTAAACCTTTGAGTCAGGAGCAGGCCCTACGTGAATGCCACAATGAATTAGGGGAGCTGGTGTGCGGGCTCCTGTGCCCAGGTCCCTCTAGAATTCTGTTCAGAAAGAATGAACATTGCCCGCTACAGCCGTGGAGCCGGCTCCTCTCCCAGCACGTGGGAGACCGCCCTCCCATCCCAGCAGCAGGTGAGAACGGTCTCGGGACAGAGGGGGCTGACCAGGAGGGCTCCGGGTCACAGCATCTTGGCCACCTGGCCAGGAGACGCTTGCTCTTCTGTGTTCCTTTGACAAAGTTATCGAAGTACTAAGTGCAGCTCCAGGGGATCACGTGGCAAATGGGTCTTCTCTGTTTTCTGTGAGTGGAGGAAAGAGAACGTTAGCTGAGGTGAAGGGGCCCACGCTTTAGATCACCAGGGAGCTCGTTGGAAATGCAAAATCTTGGTCCCACCCAGACCTAGCCGACGGGCCCCTCCAGAGTGGGGCCCAGGAATCAGTGCTGTAGTGATCTTGAGCATGCTTCAGTTTGAAAAGCACTGCTCTAGAAAGTGAAAGGGAACTCCCTTGTCCATGTAACAGCCAGAGTGATCTTCTAAAAATAGACAGATCCTCCTTGACTTAACGGTGGATGGGGTTATAGCCCAATAAACCCATCATCAGCTGAAAATACCGTAAGTCGGAAATACATTTAATACACCTACCCTACCAAGCATCCTGGCTTAGCCTCGCCAACCTGAAACGTGCTCAGAACACTTACATTGCCCTATAGCTGGGCAAAATCATCTTAACACAAAGCCTATTTTATAATAAAATGTTGACTATCTCAAGCAATTTATGGAATACTGTAGGGAAAGTGAGAAACAAGAGTGGCTTGTCTGGGTGCAGAATGATTGTCGGTGTATTAGTTGTTGACCCTGTGATCCCGGGGATAAACCGGGAGCCGTGGCGTCGGCTGCCCAGCATCACAAGGGCATCCCCACTGCATATGGATGTAGCCTGGGGACAAAATGTAAATTCAAAGCACGAAGCACGGTCTCTACTGAATGCATATCACTTTCGTGCCATCGTAAATTTGAAAAATTGTTAAGTCAACCCATCATAAGCTGGGGACCGTCTGCATATCAGGTCAGCATCTTTAAAACTCTCCGATGGTTTCTCGTTGCGTTTAGGATAGTACTACAGTTGCCCATGTGGCCTTCCTGGCCCCACGTCACCTGCCGGCTCCCCAGCATCTTCTGTCCTCCTGCCCTTCACTCTCCCATCTTCCCTCTCTTCTTGCTTGAACATGCTACCCTCAGTTACCCCAAGAGCTGCTCCCTCTCCTTGGAAAGCTTCTTGCCCAGACTTCCTCAGGCCCGAGTCCTTCTCCTCATCCAAGTCTCAAATTCACATCCCCGGCAGGCCTTCCCTGGCCAGCCCTCAGGGTTCCCCCATCCTGTTCCCTGTTCTGTGTGAGCCCTCGCCCCCTCGGGATCTGTCTTGGTTGGTTCTGTGTCTTCTCCCTCCACCAGAAAGAAGCTCCGGAAGTTCAGGAACCTTGTCTTTCTCGTTTGTCCCAGGGCCCAGCACGTACACCTGCACGTTGTAGATACATAATAAGTATCTGATGGGTGGGTGCATGTTTGCAAAGCAGAAATAGAACCTATGGAAGAGCTGCCATATATTGAGTACCTGCTGCACATCTCGCTTTGTGCTGGACACTTCACAGAGGCATAGTAAGTAGGCTTGTCCGTAGGGGCAAACCCCACCACAGGAGCACCGCTTAACACCTCTGCTAGTGTCCCGTGTGAGCAAGTCACCAGGCCATCCCAGAATCAGTGTGGGGAGTATCCGCAGAGGCTGCAGATTGAGAGAGAGGAATGATTTGTAGGCATTTTGTGATCTACAGAGGTATTACTGTCCGCGCTATGCACATGTGGAAATGGAAGCCCAAAGAACTGTCATCTCTTCACTTGATCTCAGCCAAAAGAACTGTCATCTCTTGCTCAGGGATGCTGACACACCTCAGAGTTCAAAACCAGTTCTGGCTGACCCGAGAGCCCACTTGTGCACCTCCATCCCACGCAACCCGCCTTGCTCTCATCAGCTGCCTTGTGGGGAGGCAGCTCCCCATTCCAGTGGCCAACTGGCCTTCTAGAATTCCTTCCAACCCCGTCTTGTAGGTTTCTGACTTGGCTGCCTCCCTGCCTGCCCCCCTGTCCCTAGACAGAGCGCAGGAGGCTTCCTGTCTCAGTAGGACTCCCAGGGGCAGCCCTGGCTTCCAGCTAGACCTTCCCGACATCTCTTTGGCCTTTCTTGAGGCTTTGCCCTCCTCTTGGCAGCGTGAAGTGATGGTGGGCCCTCTGGGGACTCAGAGAAGAGCATGGGACCCAGAGTTGGGACCGTGGGTCCCAGTGCTCACTAGCTCCTCCACTCAGTCACCCCGTGCTCTTCAGCAAGCCATGCTCCCCTCCGAGGCTGAGCTTTTTCATCATCAAGATGGCATAATCAGACCAAGGAAACCTCTACCGTTCTTTCCAGACGGAAAATTCTGTTGTTTGGGTATTGATCTTTGTCTCTTGAAACACTCTCCGTTGTGTCCGGTCCTTGCTGTGTTACGTACTTCATCGTCCAGTGTAAGAGACCAAAGACCGACTTGGCACAGAACTCCGTGTGGACACGAGCCGCACAGGACAACTCCAGGGTGCAGGTGTGGGGACACCCAGCCAGGAGAAGGGTCAAGAGAACAGCAGGTCTTTGGGGCAGACCCCCAGAGAGACTGAGGAGGAGGAGGAAGGAAAGCACAGAAGCCGACCTCAAGGGAAGAACACATTTGTGTCCGGGGAAGCGGGCAGCGGAGAGAAAATCCTTGGGGACATTTATCCCAGGCTGCCCCGCAGTCCATACGGAACACCGGTCTGGGTTCTGGGCACTGGGGTCGGGCAGACCTGGGTGTCAATCCAGCTCCCCCGCTGTGTCGCTAAGTGACTCGAAAGAAGTCACTTCACCACCTCAAGCTTCTTTACCTGTAACAGTGATGAGAATCTCAACTTTATAGAGTCAGTGTGAATGTTGAAAGCAGTAACCGTGGAAATGCACCCGGCCCACTCCAAGCAGCAGAGAAACGGTAGAGATTTATTCTGTCGCCATCACACTTTATATGTTGTCATCATTATGATAAACCTCAGTCTGTCGCTGTTGTTCAGGTCCTGGCAGGAAGCTTGGTTTTGAGGGAAGAGAGGTCGCAGAGCTGGGGGCTGGTGGCAGATGGGCAGGAGTGGCTGGGTCATCTTGACTCTTCCTTCGAGGAGGTTCCACAGAACATCTGGCACCATTTCCGGTAAAGCCCACGCGGATGTGATGTTTGCCATGTCAGCAGCACCTGAGAACCTTGAGGATCTTGTGTCCCTGTTCTCACGCTAAACCCTTGGCAGAGCTTGGAAGAAGAGCCAGCTTCCCTTGCTTCTCTTTCTTGCTCCCCGCTCAGAAAACTCAGACACAGAGTCAAAATCCCAGGCGGTGGGGGGGCGGGGGGGGTGGGGCTCCACCATGGGAGCTGGCCTCTTTTCCCGCCAGACATGCATGCCTCCCACACAGGAGCTCTTACATCCACATGTTAGAAAGCATTCTTTGCCCTTCACTCCCCAGATCTCAAAGGATTTGTACGAACAGCTGTCCCTTCCGAATGCACAGTTCCCTCCATTTCACAGACAGTGAAAGTGAGGTGTGGGTGGGATCACTCAAAACCCCAGGTTCTCGGAGCCCAGCAGAGACCCGGGCCTGCGGCAGAAGCCGAACGCAGATCCCAGGGCAAGTCGGCATTGTGGAGAAGGCAGAGCCTCTTAGAAAACTGGCTCCGGGCAATTTGATTAGTAAGTGTTATAAAGTATGAGAAATGGAGGGCATTTTACCCTGATGAATATCTTAATCCTCCGTCATGAAAGAGGAAGCAACTCCTGGCAATAGCAATTCCCAGAATTACAGAGAGGAAACTCTGAAAGTCCATCGAGAAAGCCATTGACATAAGATAGGTGTGCCCATTTTCTTTTGTTTAGAAGCAGGGAAACGCATGGAATCTCTTTCCTGGTAATTGTCCGAATAAAGTGGGCATTCCTACCAGGAGACCGCTGATTATGTACCTCTTGCTGGGCAGGGAAGAAATTGAAATAGGCTTTTGCGGTTTCTTAACCATAGATCCGATCTGCCAGGCACTTCTAATGCCTTTGGAAGAAAAAAAAAATCTTCATAGATTTCTCTTCAAACGTTTTTGTAGAACCCTCTCCATTGGAGAAGCACCTTTTGGTTTTTTTCTCTGGGCTTTCTTCTCCGCCCGCCCCCACTGCCCCCGCCCCATAATCCTTGGCACGGTGCCTTTCCTGAAGCCTCGCAAAATTGCCCGGGACCCTGGGGCAGTAAGGGCTCTGACAAATGAAGACAGCATCATGCCAGGCACACTTTTGTCCCTAGCGTTCATGTGTTTTTCGGTTCCCTTGCCAAACGCCCAGCGTGTGTTTGTTCTCACTGTCGCCAAGGCCCTGTCCCGGTACCCGTCTGGACAGGTCTGGTCCAAGTCCAAGGATCCAAGCTGACCGGACATCTGGATCCCCAGTTTCTCCATCAGGGAAATGAGGGAAATTACAGCCGTGCACAGGGTTGTTGGGGGAGTTCTGGAAAGTGTCTGGTGCATAGTTAATGAGTTGGTGATCATAGTTGTCATCACTCGTGTTTTAACGCTCCTTGTAACTTAGGGCCTCGGTTTGGCTGAATCTTCTATGCTGGTCCCTGCTTTAGCAGAGCAGGGCAGCTGCGAGACATCTTTGCTGAGAGAGGAGAGGCATAGGTATTGTGAGCTGGAAGGGGACCCTTACATCAGTTAATGTATTCGTCCTGCCCCCCCATAAAAAAGGAGTCTGAGAAGAGAACGCTTACAGTGGGATGCGACTCTGTCGGTATCCCACCTTCATCTGGAAGCAGATAAAGACAAGAAACAGCCAGGTAAGTGTGTTTATGCCGATTTTAAGAGATGAAAGAAACTCAACTTTGGGGGTTGGCCCCCATCACACAGTGATGAAGTTTAGAGCAGGGACTTGGATTTGAAGTGGGCTGACCAGGTGTCTGTGGAGGTGGCGTCCGGCCCCAGGAGGCTGGCCGCGTGGCGCGTGGCCCAGGTGCCCACGGCGGGCTCAGCTTTCCTGTCTCCTCCAGGCTCCAGATGCTCGAGGCCATCTGCAAGCACTGGGAGGGACCCATCAGCCTGGCCCTCTACCTGTCGGACGCCGAAGCCCAGCAGTTCCTCCGCTACGCGCAGGGCTCCGAGGTGCTCATGAGCCGCCACAACGTGGCCTACCACATCGTGTACAAGGAGGGCCAGTTCTACCCTGTGAACCTGCTACGCAACGTGGCCATGAAGCACGTGGGCACGCCCTACATGTTCCTGTCTGACATCGACTTCCTGCCCATGTATGGGCTCTATGAGTACCTCAGGTGAGGCCCGGGGGACACCGGCTCGGGCGGCACCGGGACTGGAACGCTCCCTGGGAGCATCCTCCCGTCCAGGTCTTCCCTCTTAAAGATGGGGCAGCTGGGACCCAAAAAGGGGACTGCACCTGCCCGTGTCCATCCAGAGATAGAGCACTGCCCACCAGGTTTGGCAGGGCCATTTAGGCAATCCAGTGTCCTCGCTTTCCTGACGAACAGGCCGGAACCCCACTTTGCATACAGAAATGTTAGAAGTGGCACATGGTCTCAGACACGTCTCTTTGGCTCCCGGTCTAACGCTCTCTCTCTAGCTGCTAGGGATACATGTCCTCCCTCTTCCAGTTGGGGATCAGATGACCTTCATCTAACCATTCTAGAAAGATCCCTCCCTATTCTGTAAAACAAAGCAAAGTGATGGTGACGGCTAGCACTGTTCTGAGTGCCTGACGAGTAGGGGTTTGTTGCCACCCGCCGCAGTCCCTGGGCCGGCCACTATTATTACCTTCATTTCCCGGACGGGAGTGCGTGGGGCTGAGATCGGGAGCTGCGAGCCCACGGTTACACACCGACCCACGTGGAGGCCGGGGTCAGCCAGCCCGACTGCAGAGCCGTGGGCTGAGTCGCCGTCTCAGCCGCCTCTGTGACTCTCCAGTGACCCGTCCCAGCTCTGCCCACGTGGCAGGGCGGCCGTCCAGCGGCTGGAGAAGGCCCTCAGCTCATGGAAGGCTGGAGAGCTGTGTGGGGAGCGACATTTGTCATGGAATGACAACCCATCTGGACGGAAAGGGACTGCCGAATTCATACAGCCCGACAGTCCCCGTGTGGCTAAACTAAAGTCACAAGGTGTAAATCGAGATGTAACTGGCCACGCCTTTTTTTTTTTTTTTTTTTTTTTTAATCCTTTGTTTCTGGCTTTTGTCGGCGCGCATTCCCTCTGCTGCTGGATGATGCGTGCCTGGGTCCAGGTACCGGGAGAGATGGTTTGCACTTACCAGTTATCCTGCTGGATCCACACATCAAGCCCGAAAGGCTGGCAGGGTTCCCCCCCCTTTTACTGTGGGCAACAGCGAGGCTCGGAGAAGCAGAGTCCCCTGCTCCCATCCACATGGCTTTGCTCCAAGATTGGAACCAGTGTCTGTCAGACTCCAGGTGGGCAGGCGCCCAGCTCCATACTGGCCTGGCTACTCTGGGGTTACTGACCGTCCCCAGACAGGGCAGGAATAGAATAGAGTTCTTTCTCTCCTCCCTTGCCCTCGCTCCCTCGCTCTCTATCTGTCTCAGCCTTTCTCTTGCTGTCTCTGCAGGATTTCCTAACTTCGGGCCCTCCCCTGTGAGCAGGAGGAGCCCTTTCCTGCCTCTCTCTGTCCGCGGCGCTGGGGCGGCATGACCCCCAGCCCGGGAGGATGGGAGGTGTCTTCCCAAAGAGCATGGACTGTGCTGCCCCAGCTTCTGATGCCGGCCCAGGGCTCCCGGCACGGATCTGTCCGGCTCTGGCTGGGCCTTGGAATCCCCGTGTGTGGGCTGAGGGCGCCCCCGTGTGGCCAGACTGCGCTTCCAGCGCCTGATTCCGGGAGATTTCGGAAGCCCCCACAGCCTGCAGCATCACAAGCTCTGGGAGTCTGGGGGCGGGGATGGGGGCGAGGGCTTCCCAAAGGAACAGATGGTGGAGGCCGCCCTCCACCAAGAAAAGAGAGGCTTGAGGATTAGACTGCGACCCCATCCTCCCCGCTAAGGGGCTCTTCTGCAGGAGCACCTGAGGGGCCTTCACTCCAAGGAGTTGGAGGTGAACTGGCCCTCTCCTAAGAATCTGTAGTCTGCTCCCCACCTCCAAACTCTTTTATTGTTTTATCTCATGGGCCTCATGTTTTTAAAAAAAAAAACACACACCACATACTAACAGGTTGTTTCTGTGTTCTGTTCCTCTGTTGTATTGATCAAAAATGCTATTAACCTCCCATGCCGGTCACCTCTCATAGCATCTCCAATAGCATCTTGACCTTACTCAGTAGGAGCTAACCAGCATTGCCTACTAATTAACACATTCTTAACGCGGAGTCGCCAGAGGCTTGGCTGGCCTTTGGCCCCTTGTTACGGGAAGGCGCATGGTTCCCCTCGGGGGGTTTGAAATATTGCACATTGCTCCTAAAATGTTGCTGCTGTCTTCATAGGCCCTATAGAAGTCCAGAGACCCTACCCTGAGTGAGAAGAAATGATCTTGTCCAGTCTTCTTTTTTTAATTAAGTTTTTCATGGTAATTCCCGTATAGTTAACATACAGTGTAACATTAGTTCAGGTTCGATATACTGACTCAACTCTTCCACACATCACCTGGCGCTCATCACCACAGGTGCACTCCTTAGTCCCTATCACCTGTTTCATCCATCCATTTCCCCCCACCCACCTCCTTCCCTCTGGTAACCAGCGGTCTGTTCTCTATAGTTCAGAGTTTATTTCTTCATATATCTCTCTGTTTATTTTTAACTTTGCTCATTTGTTTGGTTTCTTAAATTCCATATATGAGTGAAATCATACAGTATTTGTCTTTCACTGACTAAATGACTGCTCTTAGCATGATACTCTGTAGCTCCATCCATGTCATTGCAAATGGCCAGGTTTCATTCTTTTTGTGGCTGAGTAATATTCCATTGTACATATGTACCACAACTTCTTTATCCGTTGGTCTTTCGATGGACACTTGGGCTGCTTCCATAACTTGGCTATTGTAAATACTGCTGCTCCAAACATTGGGGTGCATGTATCCCTTTGAATTAGTATTTTTGTATTTTGGGGGTAAATACCCAGTGGTGCGATTGCTGGATTGTAGGGTAGCTCTATTTTTAACTGTTTGAGGAACCTCCATACTGTCTTCCAGAGTGGCTGCACCGGTTTGCATTCCCACCTAACGGTGCACAAGGGTTCCCCTTTCTCAGCATCCTCGCCAACACCTGTTGTTTCTTGTGTTGTTGATTTTAGCCATTCTGACAGGTGCGTGGTGATACCTCATCGTGGCTTTGATTTGCAGTTCCCTGTTGATGAATGAGTGATGATGAGCATCTTTTCATGTGTCTGTGGCCATCTGAATGTCCTCTTTGGAGAACTATCTGTTCATGTCTTTTGCCTATTTTTTAGTGGGATTATTTGGTCCTGGGGTGTTGAGGTGTATTGTCCAGTCTTCTTTGTAAAGTACACATGTGGAGACTGAAACCGGAAAAGCCATGGCTTGCCTGTCTAGAATGACCGGACATTGTGACTTTCTTCATTTTTCTGCTCCATCCTTCGTATTCATCCGTCTTTTCATTCATTTAGTGGGTAAACTTTTATAAGGTACCTACTACTATGTGCCGCCATATCTGTGAACCAGACATGGGACCTGTGAATCCCAGCGCTTACAGACCAGCAGGAATGACAGTTAATTAAAGATAGAGATTCTTTAGGTTCTGTGATGGGGGTGTCCCCTCCCAGTGGGATTCACCTAGTCTGGGGATGGGAGGAAGGGACGTCCTGAAGAAGATAGATCCAAACGGAGGCTGAGTTGGAGTCCGCCAGTGAAGGTGGCGACGTTCCAGGCAGAAGGAGCCGTCCATTCCAGAGGTGCAAGGTGGCCGGGGCCTTGACGGGGAGAGCAACAAGAGACGATGTGGCCAGAAATGTAAGCTGGGGTGGGTCCCGCAGGACTTCTTATAAAACATGCTGAGGAGTGTGGGCTCCGTGAGGGAGGAGAGCAGTGGAAGATCCCTGGGAGAATGGGCAGATCGGATGTTCATTTCAGGAAGATCATTCTGGTGGCTTTGCGAGGGATCAGAATCGGCGGGGCCAGAGCAAGGGGGATAAGTGAAGGAACTATTGTGTCAATCCAGGCGAGAGGCACGGAGCGCCCGATGCAGGGGTCAGAAGCAGCAGGTGCCGGGTAGACAGAGCAGTGAGGGGCTCGGCAGCTGAAGTCAGGAACTGTCTGCCAGGGTGTCTGGACTTTGAAAGGGAAGGTGGGAGTCTCCCAGGTGCTGCCACCCGAGCCTTCCTTTGCAAAGCCTACGCCCGGAAGTCCCGCCTCTGCGGCCCGTCTCTCATGCTGGTCGCCTCCTGCTCTGCTGCGCCCAAGTCCTTCCTGGACTGGGCAGGATATCATGGCGTTGACTGTTGAGCGTTATGGTGGAGAGGACGCTTGCTGAGGCCCAGGGCTCTCGTCCTCCTCACCCTGGTGCCATAGTGAAGTGTGTGACTTCCAGCAGTTGTTCTCAGCCTGTTTCCTCATTGTCGAGTGAAGAAACGCTCCTACGTCAGGCGTCATAAAGGCAGACGCTCGCAGGGGCCAGGACCTTAGCCCAAAGGAGCCGAGAATGCCGAGTAAGATTCTCTGGAGAGACCGTGGCTCCCATCTTTGGCTCCTGGCTTCTGTCCGCTCCAGATGTGGCATGATTGCTTTGGGGAGAGTGGGCGGCAGGGCTCAGGTCTTCATATATTTTTTTTTTAAAGATTTTATTTATTTATTTGACAGAGAGAGACACAGCGAGAGAGGGAACACAAGCAGGGGGAGTGGCAGAGGGAGAAGCAGGCTTCCCGCCGGGCAGGGAGCCCGATGCGGGGCTCGATCCCAGGACCCCGGGACCACGACCCGAGCCAAAGGCAGACGCTTAACGACTGAGCCACCCAGGCGCCCCTCTTTTTTTTTTTTTTTAAGATTTTATTTATATAGTTTAGAGGGCAGGAGAGTGTGCGAGCAGCGGTGGGAGGGGAGGAGGTGCTGAGCGAGAGGGACAGGAACAAGCGGACTCCGTGCTGAGCATGGAGCCGTCAGCAGGGCTGGATCTCATGACCCAGAGATCACGACCTGAGCTGAAGCCAAGGCTCGGATGCTTCACTGACTGAGCCCACCCAGGTGCCCCAGTCTTCGTGGTTTTCAAGAGGAGCTGTATACTTGGATTTTGATGTTTTGATTTTTAATGTTGACAGCTAATTTTTCAAAATACACTATGGAGTCCCAGACCAAATATGTCTTCAAGCTGAAT